CCCCCCTGTTGACTAATAAACTAGTTTGAAAAGACTCACCACAAACTCTCGGACTCCCTCCTGCATTTACCAATTCTTTCATTTTTAAAAAAACCATGACTGATATTCCCACTCAGGAAAGGATTCAAAGTCCTTAAAACGATGTGAGCATTATATTGTTTAGGTTCACTAATATTGTCATTAAATACTGGTACAGGAATTCATGTTTTATCATATATATGGTATTAAAGTGCGATCTATATCGCGAAAAACCACAGGAAGAGTTTTTTACAATGTAAAATCAAAGTTAAAAAGAGGTAAGACTGCCATATTATTGAAATAGCAGAGACCACTTTTTCCTTAAAGCAAAGAAGGAAGTTTCTTAACAATTTCCCAAAGATCACAAAAAAGAACAAAATTAACAGGATGGGAGATCCCATGTATTTTCTAAAATGGAGAAGTCTCATTTTTAGGAACAAAATGAGTTATGTTTAGAGGTAGGTACACATATTTGGATCAAATGCATTAGAAGCAACAGCGAAAGTGCCATTAAAGAGTACAGGAAAGGCCTTCCTAGTCAGCATTCTTGTACACACTTCCTAAAAAAAAACAGCAAAAAGTAATTCCTTGTAGGGTTCTACACTACAGTGTCCAGATAGTTTCAGAGGACGGTTGAATACAGAAGCTCTATGGAAGTAATCAATTATGCAGACTGAGGCTGTTTTCAAAGTCAAATAGGTTCAAATAATCAAAATCTCCTTACCTTGGATATATCTCTACACCATTTGGAGAGAGAGTTACATTATAGGACAACAGCAGGAAGCTCTCAAACTTGAAACTGCCGAGATCAATAATGTTATTTTCCCAAAGTACTTCTTCTACTTTGCACAATTTAACGATGATGATGCACACAAACATATATCTGAGCTGTACGTAGAACAAGGAGATATGTGCACTTCTTGCAGCTCAGTACAAAATGATGAAAATGACTTGGTCAAAAGGAAACAGCTCCACCTCTCTCAAGAGTTGTAAGCTGGTTGGACATGTAATTATAAGTCTCAGTGGTCCGTCTCAAATCAACATCCCTGAGAACGAGATGCAAGATGAAAGTAACGAGTCACATCATTTCAGCGTTCCCACTCATCAGGGGGGAAAATTTCTCTCCCCCCCCCCCCTATTTCCTCCTGGATTTTGCAACCATTTTCAAACTAATTCTATTTTTAAAGGACGTCAGTAAAAAGGAAGAGAAATGCAAGGTAAAAATCGTACCATGGCCACGGACAGTCCCTTTCCCTGAGGTGTCAGTGTCAAGGACAGGGTTATAAGATAAGTGTAATGTAAACTCAATTGTACATCACTACACAACATGCCGCACATCCGATGTTGGCCTTTCATCCAGTTAATGTTTTTTCTAAGGGTAAAGTGTTACCGAGTGACTACAAGGGCTGTACGCACAGAGGGTGTTAAAATTATACAGCTGCACATGAACTGGAAACGGAATCTGACTTTCCCTTACTTATACGCCGGGAAAGTTGGGATGGGTTAGCAGAGACTAACAGCAAATATATTTCTTTAAATCGGAATCTGAGGCGGGGTGTTACAATTGTATTTTTGTAAAATTGAATTTCAAAGTATAAAAACCTTAATGATTCTGTCAAACGAACATAACTGTTGGCAGCCCTTTGATTTCCCGGCTTTCTCCTGTACATTTTCGTTTTCATTCATTTTCAAGAAATCTGAAAATGAAATTCTCTGGGTTTTTTTTACTGTTTTCCTGGTTGCGCGGGGACCCTGTCATTTACAACTTTGGAGTTTCATCTGAAACTTGCAAGATCTTTACATCTAAAAAAACCCAAACAAGACTGGTTGCGGTTGTGTCGTTCAAAATGGACATCACTCTCTTCATGGCCAAACCTGTAACACAATCTTTTTGAATAATCCAGTCTAAAGCCAAACAGTGAACAGGACAATTAATGTCAAAGAACGTGTCCAAAACATGCAAAAATTTCAAATTCCTGAAAATAAAACTCCCAGACAATAATGGGAAAACATAAAAGTAAAGCCTATGATAACCTGCAGTCAGAAGTATCGGGAGTAAAAAAAAAAAAAAAAAGAGGACCCATTTTAAGGGTAATAATTTGGTCATTTTTTCCACTAATTTCAACAAATCTTCAAACAAACAAAATTCAACCAGATGGTTGTCACATTTGTCAATTTGAAGAAAATTTGTTAACGAGTTCGACAAATATCAAATTTTAGAAATTTGAACCAAAAATTGAGTGAGAAAGCAAAACTTTGTAACTTACTAAAAATAATAATAATGATAATAGATAGCATTTGTATAGCGCATATCCCTGCTCAACAGCAGGCTCTATGCTTAAAAATCAAACATGTTGTTCTGTTGTAGGCCTACAAAATTGATATTGCCAAAAAAACTTAGGGAAGGTAGTGGCTGTTTGAACTGTAGGCCTGTGCTCCAGGTACTGACTATTTCTCTTCATACAAGCTCCAACAAGCCACTGGAAATTTTGAATAACTCTGAGGCCTGTTCCTGGGTTGATTCTGTGGATCTACTGTTCAACATTAACTTACAACAGTTCAATTATTTGTAGGTTGTTTCTGTAGACTGTGTAGAAAAACTCCAAAGGAAATAATTGAAGGGCTTCAAGTCAAGGAATGCCTTGACCATTATAAGCTTTCAGGTGTTCTCTAAACCTTTCTTGCACCTATGCAAGGGCAACTCTTGATGTTTAGGAGGAGGCCCCATTCCATTGGAACCAGGCCTCCTCAACAGCATAGCACCTTCTACTCCAAATTTAAAAGCTTTTTGAGCACATTGAGATACCCATCTGATGTGACCGTTGTGGTTTTAGCGTTCTCGTCCTGAAACCAGAATAAACTAATTACGCCCCTGTAGCTTAATACTTTTTAAAAAGTAGTGTTTTCTTCAATTTTGGTTGAAAAGTGTAAAAACTTGGCAATTCTTGAAACATGTGGACTGCTTTTCTTCACACTTCTTTACAAACTTAACGTTCCCCTCGTTGAATTTCATTTGTTTGAAGTTTTCTTGAAGAAATTGGTGAAGAGATGACCAAGTTATTGCCCTTTTTTGTTTAGACACCAGACATATTATCCCACACTGGACATCCACCATGTAGTCACAGTACTTTGTTCTGATTCGACTGTCATCTCAAAATTTGTGAAAGCTTGATCACCAGGCTTTACCTGCAGCACCAATGGAAATCATGAATTTCACATTTGCAGAGGTCACATAGACATACAATCAGGTGCACACTTAGAACACTTTTTTACACTTTTTTAAATTGTCCAACACGAGGGTGACATCTGAGATACTGGAGACCTGCCAGTACTCATGCCACACGAAGGCCAGCCCAACGCTTGCTCATATCAGGATACTGGAATTAATCAGTAACAGCCACAATGACAGGAGTCAGGAGTTTACTTCTACAGTAAGTCAGTTTCCTCACTTTGAGTCTAAGAGGAAGATCTTTCGGCAAGACAAGGGCTGTGATTATCTTGGTCGATACTATGTACATTTTCGCATGTGTGTAGGTATGTGTGATGAGTCTATCAGTTGATACCTTCCACAGTTCTCTGTGTGTGTGTGTGTGTGTGTGTGTGTGTGTGTGTGTGTGTGTGTGTGTGTGTGTGTGTGTGTGTGTGTGAGTGTGTGTGTGTGTGTAAGTGTGCACGCATGACAGATCTTGTATATCTGTCGGTCTATGCTCTTTATTTCTATGAGTGCTCATAAATAAAAGAGTGAGTAGGTCAGCCTATGCCTTGTCTCAGGTAGTGTGTCTATGAGCCTCTGAGGTTACAACCATGCATCCAATCGCCGTGCCTGCTGTAAAGCCAGGAGTCCTGATGGCCACCTTTTGAGTAGTGCCAGAGCCTGGGCCCGGTGGCTTGTGTGGCAGAGGCCGCCTAGTCAGCTATTAGCCATGTGCACAACACAGGCACCTGCACGGCCAGTACATAGAGTGGCCACCTGAGGATTGGGGGGGGGGGGGGGGGGGGTAAAAGTAAGGAAGGAGGTATAAGTTAACAAGTTAATAATTTGGTCTTACTCTAAGCAGACAGGAACAGTGTCATTTGGGAGGTAGAGTCAAAAGCACATCAAATGCCTATCACTTGCTACTGAGAGGGAAGTGTGAACACCCCCACCCCCGAAATTTAAAAAATCTAGTAAGGGAGTTTTTGATGAAGAGGGTAATGGGAGAAAGGCCAGTTCAGAACTTCAAAATTAGACAGAGATAGGAAAATATTAGAACCTAAATATGGAGAATTGAAAACTAGAAAATGTTAATAATAGTAAAACAGAACATAATAAAATGAAAAGTTACATCTGGAAAACTCACTTTGTTCCATTCATTGGTGACAGGGTCATAGCACTCCACATCATTAAGATACTGCACACCGTCATAGCCTCCTACAGCAAAAAGCTTGTCACCCAAGGGGCACAACCCTACAGAGTCGCGAGGACTGCTCATGGGCGCTATTATGGTCCACTGGTCAGTTTTAGGATCATATCTTGGGGTGGGAGTTGAGGGAAGACAAAAACATACAATGGAACGGCGTGTTTATATGGGTGTATTCTTTAACTTTCACTACTGTTTCATGCTCAGTTTTTGTAAAGCCCTTTTCTTGTTCATTTTTATCCATTTTAGACAAATATTGGCTTTCTATTCATCACAAATTAATACTTAAAAAAAAATATTTGATCGGTTCTATTCAAACTATACCACACTAAGCCTAATTAACTCTTTAGCCTTGAGTTTTTTCTACCGTTTCCAGGAATTTTTTTCTACAGTTACCTAAACCTAGTGCACTATGTCTCATTATAAACCCAAAAGTTTGCCTCCAACTTCTAAATAGCGGAAACAAAGGCTTAGTCATTACTAAAAGACTTGGTTCGGGAACAGTTCCGAAAAACAAGCAAAAACTAGCACTAAATAAAACGAAACAGATGTCACTAGTACTCGACGCTCCAAGCATCCTATGGGGAACAGGGTTATTACCGCCGGAGCTCCCAGCGTCCAAGGGTTTCAAAGAGTAAAGAAGTAAGTTCTGCGCTCTGGACTAATTTGAGATTTTAAAAAATCTGGGGGGTTACAAGGAGTAGGCGTGCCCACCTGTTTTTCCTAATAATTTGATGTTTTGCAATTAGGTTTGAAATTTTCTTGAAAATAATTGACTTGCGACAGTTTTAACCATTTCCGCCCTACAAGCTCTGCCCATCACAAGACCGGATTCGCTTTGGGTAGGAATCCGTAAAATGACATACATGCAATTCTTAAAACATCTTACAAATAAACCGCTAAAGATACTCAATTAAAATTTGGGACTTTAATAGATAAACGGTTTCAGAATTGTAAACAGTTGAAAATACTTTACTATCCCCAGTTTCGACTCAAAAAAATAAAATTGTAATATGTAAAAATCAAAAATCACAATACAAAAACTTCAAGTGCTGGCATTCTTTATGCAGAAGACAGAAAAATTCCTTTTTTAGAGTGTCATGATATGAGGAGAAGCATTCCTCTTTGCAGTCTGATTTGGCAAAGAGTGCAGCTCATAACTATCTCAGAAGCTCGCCTTCTGTTTGTGTAGTTCTTATTCTTCCTATACCAGTAGCATGCTCGTTTCAGTCCGGCCATACGGAAAAGCCTGTGGTCAACCAGGGCTGTGTTCACAACCCCAGCAGTTGCTGGCTGTTTCACAGTTGTCTTCCTCTTCCTGCCGCCGTTCCCTTTCATTAGGGCTGAGCTCAAGCTGAGGCGAAAGGAGATATGGCTCAGCTGCTTGGCCTTGAGTTGGGGGCGATGGGAAGTGATAGTCATGCTAATATGAAGTTATTTTGTACATCACCTGTGTAGCCGAATCGAGCCACAAGTTAATTACGTCTAGACCCCCAAAAAACTACGTCCAGAAAGAGTTAAGTCTGTAATTGGGAAATTTGGGCTGACACCAGACATATTATGAGTTCCTCATTCAGATTTGATGTAGCTGCTTGGATTTCTAATGATTGGACTTAGAAAAATAAGTCTGCTTTAACTTTTTCCATGCCAATCCATGATCTACTATTGAGAGCAAAATTGACCCTTCGTTTTAATCGTAGACCTATTCTGGGCACATATGCATTTTCTGACAGATCTTTCTGTAATAGAAAGCAATGTTGTGTACTACATTTTATAAGGAAAAGTATAGTAACAACAATGTCTATAGACAGAATGCTGACCATAAGGCACATAGGTTTGTTTGTGAAGGGATGGACAAACACAATTGGGAAGGAGGAAGGAGATACCACTATTTAAAAATCTGTTGTCCTTGTACCTTAACTCATTCACTACGCCGAGCCGTGGGGGGCGGCGCGGCTAGAGTGCCGTCAGTACGCTAAGCCGCCAACGGCGGCTCGAGAACTGACGTTCAATTTTAACTTGGTTTCTATTCCAATCCACATATCCATGTTAAAATAAAGGTCATAATATAAAGTTGACTTCCGGGTCAAGTGTTTCCACCGAAAATCGGAAGTTTTGATTCAGTTTTGAAACAGGATTTCGAAGTTTATGCGACATTGTTTTATCGCGAAGCCCAAATTATAGCCAGACACCAGTCTTTGTACTTTTACACAACAAAATGTATCATTATTTTGCTCACTAAAGAAGTGTAGGACTCTTCTTATAATATTGATACTACTGGACTCAAATTGCCAGTGCACTGTAATTGAGAAATCAATATTTTTGAGTGCTAGATCTAGTCAAAATATTTTTCTCCCCCCAAATTCACTACTTTTTGGTGAATTTACTCAAAAAGTACCACCCAAGACATGTATAGGTTTATTCCAAATGCAATTCTGAATAATTCCATATAAGATACGAGTGTTTTTTTCTGTTTGGGATCCTTTTTTCAAAATTTTTTTTTTTTTTAATTTTCTTCAATATCGGAGGTTACGATCCAAATGTACAAATATTATGGAATGTATGTGAATAACTGCTCATTTTTCAATATTTTCCTGTTCTATATACAGTTATGGTTATTTTGATGTATAATTTGACTAGGTGCAAACATATTTTTTGAGTTTCATCTGAGATTATAATTTTTTTTTTTTCAAATTTTATCCGCAGCCAATCACAATTGTGTTGCATAATCGCCTCTTACAGGAATCAAAGTTGAAAAATACTCAAATAAACAATACACATGTATTCTACAAACCATACTGAAAATGTTGGTATATAATATGTTGATATTTATTTGAATTTATGGCCCCCAAGACCTGTGAACTGCGCACTAGTCATCATCTCATTTCGCCCTCCCGAAAAAAATTCGTCTACAAGCCGAAAATAATACGTAGCGAATGAGTTAAGAAAACCTACCTTTCTGCGCAATCAAATCGACAGCTGGTAGGGTTGGTGGCTGGAGCCTCATAGCCCCCAACGGCATACAAGAACCCACTGCAGTTGGCAGCCCCGACACCACCCCTCCTCTTGGACATTGGGGTGCAGTGCGTCCATTTGTTTGTGTGTGGGTCAAAGCACTCCACCGACTTCAGGCAAGAGCTACCGTCTCTTCCACCAACAGCATACAGTCTGAAGAGAAGAGGATAAAAATTAGAAAAAGTGCAGAACTGAGATTAAAAGAGCCTGTCAGAATGAGTTTTACAAAAGAATATATTTTAGTATGGGTAAAGGGAAGTACATAACATAGAGATGCCAAAGTGTAGGTCACCAAAGTGCGGCTGGACCTAACTGATGCCTATTTCTATTACAGAAGTCTCCGCCAAAGATCCCACCGCTTATGGTCCCAGTTCGCCTAACATCCCACTGTTTTGGAAAAACATAATTTTTACTATATAAAAGTCACCTCTAAGATCCCGCACAGGAGGATCTACATTCGGCTAAGATCCCACTTTTCAGGTCATAATTTAGTTATTTTCTTCTTTATTTACGAAAAAAAAAAGAATAAGAAACCTGGGTGCGCTCAGCCGATCAACAAAGTAGCGAAAATGTGAGATCATTGTATGGTATTTCACGTCACGGATCATTCACTCTCACGAATGCGATCACACCTCAGTTGTAAATGTTGATAAGCGGTTACAATGTTTAGCCCAGACGAGATAGCACCACGGTGTGAACTCGTCGATGCCTTGCTTTCCTCGATCACCTGAGCCGTCCGCCTGAGCTTACATTACACACTAGGTGTGGAGGGCCTACAAGCAAGCATCAGACTCCATTCCATCAGACGGTGAACCCGTGGACGCTTACATTTTCCCGACCATCGCTCTCGTCTTTCAATTTCGCGATTTAGCTTCATAGACAGACTGGCGCCCATACTCGTGGACTGTCCGATCACCTCTGCGTAATGTGGTCTTCTGTTGGCAGGGAACCTGCTTTCATTTTTTTTTTTTATTTGGTCGGTGTGGTCACAACACAATGACATGGCAGAGAACTCCATTAGAGATGGAAAGCAATTAATTTTTGGTGAAGGGGCATTGCTTGAAATTGAAGCCAACTGGTTCCCACCTGACACAGTAATTTTTTAAAAGCCCCACCCCCCCCCCCCCCAAAAAAAAAGGAAAAACTGACTTCTGAAAAGAACTTTTAGTGCCCAAGAGTCACGTCAGTTCATTTTAAAGTAAGGGAAGATAATTGGCTGGAGGGCGGCACGAATCAAAGTTCGAATTATTGTATTCGTTTCTAGTGTGGACTCCCCCCCGCCGAATAGGCGGGCTTCGACCACACCCTCACAGTTATCCACAATTTCTTGGTTTAAGCAGCCCTTCAGCTCATGGCTGAGGACCACGCCCTTCGACTGGTTAAACTTCTGGTGTCGCTCGGAAACACAAAGAACACCACCGAAGGTCGTAATCTTTTCAAGTCCGGCCAGTTCTTTATCCGATGCGCACTTGATGAGGAGAGCACCAGAGGACAGTTTCTGGACATTCGTAGGAATGTATCCCAGAACCAGTCTTAGAGCATCTCCTGTCTTGAATATGTTTAGATCTGTGATCTTTTCCTGCGCATCGATACTGCGGATGGTCAAGTACGGCTGCCGCGGAAGCTCCCTGAGAGGGGGGAGGGCAGAGGCAGTCGTAAAGGTCATTTTCCCTTTCGATGTTTGTTTGCTCGGCTCGGCGGCCGCATCCGCTTCCGCGAACCGAGACTCTTTGGCAACGTTGGGAGTTGGGGAAGGGTTTTTAATTGATGAGGTTTCCATGTGAGTGTTGTAAATTTGTTCGACTCCGGGGCTCCCCACCCGCCAACGAGCCCAACAAGTGGACACATTGCTCGGATGACCAGAGCTGTGCCAGGGCTACCCCGGAGCTATACTCTCCATGAAAGTGCATAAAACCCTCCCGTCAAGACTGACCCAGGGCTTGAAGGGGTTTCAACTCCAAACCGATTGAGTGGCATGGGCTGTGCCACCCTCCCGTCTAAGAGGAAAACCTGAGCTAAAGAGGTGTGTCGGTGAGGAACAGTCCATAGACTGATCTCACCTCAACCGCCAGGTACCCGGTTTCCCTCCGCACGGGTCGCACCTCACAGTCAACAAGGCGCCCACTCTGTGGAACGGTTGACCTCTCTTTTTGCTGCACATGAGGTCAGCGGTGGGAGAAAAGACAGAAAGAAAGAAGGAAGGAGAAAAGGAAGATACACTAAAGTAGGTGTTGCATCCGGATCCTAGAGGTTTGGGGTCCATGTGCGACAACTCGCCTTTGAAGGGGTTGCACCTCCTGCAGATGAAGCAGTGGGTCTATTTATATCCCCCCGATCCACTGGGGGCGCTACTGTAGTTAGGCCTACTATAACTGTCCTTTACTGGTACTTTACAAGCCTATTCTTCTTAGAGAGACTCCCTCTTTCAAATTTCGGTCTGCTGTTCTACTCCACAAAGATGGTGTCAATTTCAGTATGTGTATATCAAGCTTCCACAACTAGCCTTAAATCTTTTAGCCCTGAGTATTTTTCCACCGTTTCCCAGAGTTTTTTCTACAGTTACCTATACCTGGTGCAGTATGTCTTATTATAACCCCAAACGCTTGCCTCCAACTTCTAAATAATGGTAACAAACGCTTAGTCATTACTAAAAAAAACCTTGGTTCGGGAATAGTTCCGAAAAACAAGCAAAAACTAGCCCTAAAAAATAAAACGAAACAGTTGTCACTGGTACTGGACGCTCCCAGCGCCCGACGGGGTTCAAAGAGTTAATGTTTTTGAGCGGGCAGTCTTGATCCTATTTATTGCATTGATTTGGAAAGACTTTTGAATGGAAATAGTACATACTGTAAAGTCCACAAATCTCGAATGTGAAAATCATGAATTCTCGGGTATCTCGAACGTGATGCTCGGTCCCGTTTCAGTCCCCATGTCTTCTTGGTATTGATTTCACTGAGTTCCCGAACACGCAACACTCGAATCTCGAACAAGTCCACTTCGCATTCTCAGCTAAAGACACGGCTTTACAGCCTTTCTGGCCGCGGGTAGGTATTTTTTTATATTGTTACAGCCAAAACGTGGTCCTTGTCTCAACACGAAAGGCAGAAAGAAGGGAGGACGGGGAAGGGGAGTTGGGGAGTGATGCTGACGGCACCGCATGACTGGTTCGCTGCCGCGTGCAATCATGCTGTGGGACGCACGTAGTGCAGATGGCAAGAGGTGTACAGAAAGTTACATTCTGTAAGCCAATGAAATGAGAGGAAAGGAATGACGTAGGAGTCGGGTGTGCACACGTGATATTTTCTACTTTCCACTTTCATTCTCATTTACTTGCTTTCACACCGTCAACACGTTTATCAAGGGAACTTACCATATTAATTGTTTTAAGGGGTATCGCTACCTTGAAAACCAGCTTTTTAACCAGAGAACCTGTGAAGCTAGTAGTATTGGTATATGTTGATACTTACGTGGAGGAATGAAAATTATCTACACCTTCAAACAATTCGTAAATTCATCGGTTACCATGGAAACAGGGAACATCTTGAATTTTGTTGATAATTTAATTTTCTTAAACGTTTCAAAACTATGCTACCTGTACGATTCTTTTAAAAGGCAAAAGGAAAAGTATCCACTCTTTTTGGACAAGCTCACTTTGGAGACCTCTGGACTGATTACTAATGGTCTTCTCAATATGACAACTAGCTAGCCCTAAAATTTCATGTCTTCTCTCACTTTTGCCTTTAAAAAAATCGTCTAGGTAGCATAGTGGTGTAGACTTTCATTCCTCAACATACGTATCAACATAAGCCAATACTAGCTTCACAGGTTCTCTGGTTCAAAAGCTGGTTTTCAAGGTTGCGATACCCCTTAATGTTCTTTTTTACCTCCCTTGATTTTCTCTCTATTTCTTTGTACAATGTAATTGGGGTTTTCATGGACATGACAAATTACGGAAATCTTGAACACGGTTTCCAGTCCCCGACGAATTCGAGCTACCCGTGTTTGACAGTAACTTGAGTCCATATCTTTATATATTTTGAGTATGCTTGAAACACATTGATTGAATCATTTTCAACGTAAAAACGTACATGGTTCTGCTGCAACTAAAGCAGTTTTGTCATCTGACCTAAGTGCACCCAGGCATAGTAGAGATGTAGGCAGGCAATGCTCAATAGTTTTTTTTTACTTGAAAGTGGCCAATAACGAGACTTTCTCAAAGGAAAACTTAAAATGGGAAAATGGAGAAAAGCAAAAGCTCAGCTTTAGGAAGAAAAAAGAAAAAAAGCAGGACGACAGACTAAAACTGTAAAAGGAAAGGAAGAAAAAGAGAGAAAATAAAGAAGCTAAAATGAAGACAGAAGAGAATTTAAAGGAAAATGCTCAAAGGAAAGGAAACAGCCGGAATTAAAATACAACAAAATGCCAAAACAGAATGAGAGCCCAAAAATATTCTAAAACTATAAGTGTTTGAACCTGTAACAAATGTCATGGGCTATGAAAGTGGCATGAATGAGTGTGTGTGTGTGTGTGTGTGTGTGTGAGTGTGTACGCGCGCGCACGTGTGTGTGTGTGTGTGTGTGTGTGTGTGTGTGTGTGTGTGTGTGTGTGTGTGTGTGTGTGTGTGTGTGTGTGTGTGTGCCTGTGTGCGTGTGTGCATATGCTTGTATGTGTGAGAGATAGGACAGAGGAAACGACAGAGAAAGGGACTGAGAGAGAGAAGAAAGGGGGGTGGAGGGAGGCGGCTGAGTAGAGAGAAAGAGGGGTAAGTGGAAGATGAAACATGGATACAGTCAAACTCTAACCAGATGAACACAATATTATGGTTTTAAAGCTGAGTCCATCTGCTGTGGAAAACCAAGTGGATAACTGCAGAATGCCCTCTTGGTGAAAATAAATAGAAAGTGCAGGACTGCAGATCACAAACTCGACATATTTCACATTTCACAGTTGTCTATTTTTTTTCTTCCCCCAACTACCTAAAAAAAGGGCCGCTTTGGTCTCAGATGTAATGAGCTTTATGTTGCATGATGAGCTTTATCATGTAACCGTCATTTTGATATCTAATTGAGATTGAGAACGGTGGTTTGGAGTTTGGACAATTGAAAGATGCGTTTACTGGTCAGCAGCCAAAGATAAGACAGTTGAGCAATAACTGAGACTTGTAATATGTGGCATTGCCTCTAATATTGGTAGACTTACAAGTACACTAACCTCGTTATTCCAGAATATAATTTAAACATGAAAATCATACCCCCCCAAAATTTAAAACCCCAGGAAATAAACTATCCATTAATCCAGATCAGTCAGCATTATCCCAGCTGTTGTAAATGGATCCCACAGTATATTCATTTTTTCCCTCTCAAGTTGGATGTGTTTTGAGTTAGTTATAAATATGATCATTTTGGCACAGATATTATTTGTCTTATGCAGATCTATACTACATCTAACTTCCTCTAGTCTTGTGTGTTTGCTTGCGACCTAAACATTGTAAAACGCAAGTAACCGAGTCCAGATCAAGCCAGGGTTCCTACTCATCACGAGAAAGAGTTTCCCTTTTTTCCCCTGATTTCGTCTTGGATTTTGCAGCCATTTTTTCTTATATTTTTAATGACGACAGAGCTAAGAAGCAGAAATGAAGAGAAATGCAAGGTAAATTGTAACAAGGCCATGGACAGTTCTTCTCTCTGGGGCATCAGTATCAAGGACAGGGGTTATAGCATTTGAGTAACGTAAACATGGGGAGGGCTGGTTAGCTGTTGGCCTGACTCTTGCAAAATCGAAATAAACAGACAAAATGCGTCAAGGGCCTTTGATCTTAATTAATAAGTGTACATCACTCCACAAATTGCAGCACAACCCTTTTTTATTGCTTTTTAAAACACTCTTTTATTTGCCTAGGTCGTCACCCACAACACACAGGCCGTCACAAACTAATGTTGGTTTATCTCCTTGCTAATGATTTTCTAAGGATAAAGTGGTACTGCGCGACGACAAGGGCTCAGTGCACAGAGGGTATCAAAGTTAGCTGTGACGTGGACTATCTGACTTTCTCTTACTTATACCTGGGAAGGTGGGGGCGGGTTGGGAGAGATGAACAGCAAATACACTTCTTTAAATTGTAAAATTGAATTTTGTTTTTTTCTTAAAGTTTAAAAACCTTAACGATTAATTGTTGGCAGCCCTTTGATTTCCTGGCTTTCTCATATACATTTTCATTTTCATTCATATTCACCCTGTTTTCCAGACCAGGAAATCTGAAAATAAAATTCTTTTGAAACAACTTTTCAAAAAACAGAAACAACTATAAATACCTGCTTACAACAGAAAAAAGTAAATGGCAAGATGCACAGACGTATTACAAGATCCAGGTCACTAATAAACACAGACATCAAAATTGTCACACAAGAAACAAAAGTACTCTGCCAACAACAATCCAACAGCTGTCTTTCAAGCATTAAAAGGGCAGCCACTGACATTATCCACAAAAAAGAAAAGTATATAACAGAAAATAGTGACACAAAATCTTTACCTCCTGCACCAGCCCCCAGCCCCGTGCCAAGGCAATCTCTGTCATCAGGAGACAGGTAAAAAAAGGATAAGCTGTTGCTAACACAATTAGATGACAGAATAATGCCATGTTTCCTTTGGAACCACATAATGACATTGTAAGCACTGAATGAAAGGTAAAAGTAAAGAAAGCTATGATAAAAGAATATATGGAAAACAGATGTTTTCAAAACGCAGAAATATGATCCATGTCGTCCATACTTCATCTAACAGTGTCTTTCAGGAGGAAATACCCAGAACAGATAGGCAGGTAGATCAACAAGCAGACAGAGATAATCAGAGATAAATAGACCAACGGAAATACAAACACAAATAACAGAAGACATGACAAACAGATTAACATATGATACGAAACCTATTTGCAAAAATACTCACTTTCCCAGCAGGGCTGCTACCCCAACAGTACTGCGAGAGGTAGACATTGGGGCCACATAACTCCACTGACGGGCCTGAGGGTCCCAGCGCTCAACAGTGTTCAGATAGGACCAGCCATCATGGCCCCCAACAGCATACATCGGACCTTCCAGTACCCCAACACCTGAAAAACAAATAGTATTTTTAGACAGGTTTTTAAATTTAGTTTAAGTTGGGACCCCCTCTCAAATTTTCAAGATTTACTCAGGACTGGGCCAGAAACAAGCACTTCTGCCCTCTTCGTTACTGACTTTGAAGTCCTAGGATAGTTTCCCTTGATCAATACAGCTACAAACTACTATAGCCTCAATAGACAACATACTCTAGCCTGAAAAGTTCTTGGAAGTCTTGATAAGCCACAAAAGGAAAGCATATGCCAAAATAATAGGCAAAGGATTAGACCTTAAACCTGAGTGAAGCTCAGTTCTGACTCCTCAAAGAAAGAGGATGCATGGATGCTGTATTCAAATTCTGACAGCTTTGAGAGAAAACCATCGGGCACAACAAGGATCCGACATTGTCTTCATGGATCAGAAGAGGGCTTTCGACAGAGCAAATCTTGTTAAACTGTGAAAGACACTAGAAATGTATGGCCTCACAGGACAAATGCTAAACAACGTTAGAGCTCTATATACCAACAGCAGTAGTTCAGTTAGAATAAAGGAAGGCAACTCAGACTGGTTCAAAGTAAGATCTGGAGTATGACTTGGGTGCACTTTATTTCCCGTTCTTTTTATAATATATATGAAAACAAAAATGCAACACCAAAACCAAAGCCCAGACAGCCTAAATGAAATTCAGCTTGAAGACGAACACTGTCTTATTCATCCAAACCAACAAAGCCACCAAATCACATCGCTGAACTGAACAACAGCTGTGAGAAATTTGACACAAGAATAAGAACATCAAAAACAAGTTATGAAAGTTAGCTCAAACCATAGTTCGCTGAACATTCATGTCAATAGTAAACAACTAAAACAGGTCAAGGAGTTTATATAACTTGGCAGCATTTTTTTCTCTGAAACGAGTCCACAGAGAAATAGAAATGCAAACTCAAAAAGCCAACACTGCCACCTATCATCTCATCCAAACATTTTCATGGACACAGACAGCTTCAATATTTATACCAACATTATGCTACCAGTGTCAGACCTGGACATTATTGGCACAGAGTCCTGCCTGCATTCATAAAAAAAAAATAGAGAGTAAAATGGTCTGGCCACCTGTCACGAAAATCACCTTGCTAGCCAGCCTACAGAACCAAGTATTCAGGATTTAACGGAAGAGGCAGGCCATGCAAAAGATGAATTGAGGAAGTCAAGAGAACCCTGAGAAATTATAACATCCCAATCGAAAGAGCAGCAGAGTTGGCCTACCATAGAAAACTGCACCTTCCCTTGACACTTAAAGGCAACAGAGGATGAAAGACTAAAACGTAAAGCATAAGATTACTCCTGGGTTTGTTGTGGACATTTTTCTGTTTATCACTAAACATCCAAACCCATTTCCTTACTATACCCACACTCACTGCCTTTTCACCCTAAACAGTTGTCATCTAACGGAGTCTTTCATATGATTTTAAGTTTTGTACATTTAGGAAACAAGTCATTGATCCAACTTCACAGTCGTTAGCATTTTCTATTGTTTTCCACATGTTTGATGAGGCACTTTGAGAACATTGGACAAGCCAAAAAGGGAATGAAATAGTCGAAAGGCAGCCTCAAGAAAGGTGTGAAAATGGTACAGTCCAGTCCAGTCCATTTATAACAGCCTCTGTTATTTCAGGAACTTGGATATAACAGTGATAAATCAAATCCCCCTTTTTTTTTTCTCTATAAGTGTAAGTAATATAAAATGAACCTGGATATAACAGGGTTCAATCTGTGCAAACTCGGATAAAACAGTGATCTTGCAAAGCATGAATTTGCTTTCGATCCGTCAAATTTAGTCAAATTATTAAAATTTGTCTCAACCAAGACATTTCACCTATTTGTATACACCCCCCCCTCTAGTTCAAACTTTCAACCCCAAATAGTGTTGGGGTCACTGATCGATTCCATCTCAGTGTCAGCAAAACAGCCCACTGGAAAAGGATCTGCGGTGATCGAATATATATAGTAAGCTGAAGGCTCAATGGTACTGGTAGTTTCCTTTGATAACGGTTATAACAGGACCCGCTTATAACAGGGAAAAACTGCCGGTCTCATCTGTCCTGTTCTATCCAAGTTTGACAGTACTTACTTTAACAATAAACCCCAAAAGATGAATATTCTGAAGAAAGATTTTTATGCAAATTGTGGCAAAACACATACCCAAACCATGGCGGTGAGTGGACATGGGAGGCATTAGAGTCCAAGAATTCTTTTTGGGGTCATAACATTCCACAGTGTTGAGTGTCTTCAGGCCGTCACGACCTCCCACCACAAAGAGCTTATCATCCAGCACGGCCACACCAAACTGCAGTCTCCTACCTGACATACTGGCCACTTGGGTCCACGTATTTGTGCGAAGGTCATACTTTTCTACACTAGTCGGACCTGTGAAGAGGAAAAACCAAAAAGGATCAGCGCCATTGTCATTTATACCCCAAAAGCCTTGAACAGTAAAGTACAGAGAATACAAGTCTGCTCTTGAACTTTATCTCATAGCCAATAGCTAAGATAATAGCAAAGCTTCGCGTTAGAATATCATATTTCGTAAAGTTTCTTTTTTAAAAAATTCAGTTAATTAAGCTATTTATTCATCTTAGCAATAACCGTAAAAATAGGGAACAAGAAGAATAAGAAGAATATGGGGTGTAAGAAGCAGCAGACCCAACTACTGTTTCTATATTATCTTCATAAAGCAGTTTTGAGCCAGGTAGACTCATTGTACATTGTATAATTGCATATATACCCTCCATCCACACAACTTACATAATTTAGGTGGCGGGCTGCTTTGTCTGAGCATTTGCTTATTAACTCAAAAGCTTAGAGTTTGAGTAAAGAGAAGTAGACTGACATAATGACGGCCATTTAGGGCTGGAAAAAAGAATAAACACACAGATAGAAAAAGAGGAAAAGAAAATTAGCAGGACCTCTCAGTGGTCAGCCCACTCACTAAAAGGCATACATGTAAGCAAATATGAGAAACGCTGTAAAAGAATGGCAAAGGTGAAAAAAACTCACCTTTCGTACACTCCATGCTGCCGACAGCGTAGAGAACTCCAACCGTAGACTTGCGCGGCTTGGTGCGGGGAGACTGGAAAGATGAGCGTCTCTCAGGCAATAAGTGGTATTTGAGTGCTTCCATGATGAGTTGCTGGCATTCCTTGTCCTCATGGAACAGAGAGTTGGTCTCTACGTGGTCAGCGATGAACTGGAAAAATCAATTATACAATGTATCACTCATTTGAGAATTGTACAGTTTTCAAAAGGTACGGCTGTAACCACCCCCCAAAAAAAACACACCAAAAAACCCCCCTCAAAAAACAACAAACAAACACACACACACATAGCTCAGCACTTTAGTGGACCTCTGGAACATCTCTGACCGACCTGAGTCAAGTAAGTGGAAACTCTAGAAAATTCCCCTGACAGCCTGAGCGCAAGAACTCTGCATTGGAGATTGGGACCACGGCCATCTGCATCATGAATCCAATGGAACAAATAATGCCACGAACTGAATGAAACAAAAGCGGATACAGTTTCAAAATAAGAAAAGATGGGCAGAGAAAAGAAAAACATAATGTTTAAAATAAAACTGGAAAGAAAACTTGGTTATCTTCCTGAGGAATGGTTCTCATGATGCTGACACTGATAATTAAAGATGAGTTAACTATGTGAAAGATAATATGCTACTTTAATTTATATACAAGTATACACACACACAGACAGAAAGAGGAGAAAAGAGAGAGAGAGAGAGAGAGAGAGAGAGAGAGAGAGAGAGAGAGAGAGAGAGAGAGAGAGAGAGAGAGAGAGAGAGAGAGAGAGAGAGAATGGTTCTCATGATGCTGACACTGATAATTAAAGATGAGTTAACTATGTGAAAGATAATATGCTACTTTAATTTATACGCAAGTATACACACACACAGACAGACACACACACACACACACACACACGCACAAACCCAGACACAAATACACCCTTACACACACCTTCTGTCTCATCACACACGCACGTATACACCATTATGATAGGGCCATACAAATACATAGAATAATATATTATATAAGGCGATCTGTAGATAAACAAAAAATACATTATAAAGATACATTGTCATTTACATAATATTGTACTGAAAACGAAGCTTCTGGGTTTAGAAATAATTTCATCAAATTCAAATGTGTCTTTAATCTCACGTTTTAAATTTAGACTCAGGTATAAGGGGTTGATGAAGGGAGTTCTAAGCCAATGGAACAAAATAGGCAAAGGACAATTCAGCTAATTTTTAAAGCTACTTTCATGGGAACTCTCCTTAAAGATACTGATTGTCTGGTCTCGGTGATCAAGATGGAACATAGATCTAGATGAGATCACAAAGCCGTGAGGGAGATTTGCCAATGACATACTTGTGGCATAGTATTTCATTTTTAGTCGATATTCTAGCTGGCTGACCTCGCAGCATGATCCTGAAAATGTGTGACGCTAAAGTGGTATTAGGTAGTTCAAATAGTTGAGCATTGTATCAATCAATACGTGAGAACAAGAAAGATGACACGATATTTTCTATGAGAATTCATTCATAAAACATAGACATGTTATGTCCAATTCTGTACAGATTACAAAATACGAGACGAGGGTACATAAATAACTGACAGGATGTTTCGTTGGCAA